GGGGTGAGGGAGGGGGGTTAGGTTATAGTTCCAATTACTGACCACCAATGCTGATTGCATCTGATTGGACATTGACCAGCAGTTTCTTTAGTGCTGTGTTGGAACTTCTGACCTAAGGGTTTTTTGCTGTCTCAGCAGTTGCTGTTTACTAAATAGTCACTGACTATCTTATGAAGTTCTTTAAAGGAGAACTATGAGGCAAGTGCTTTTCACTCACCTCATAGTTCTAGCCGACCTGTGGCAATGAGACTGTCACAGGGCGGCTCAGTAGATCGGGAGGTGAGCGAACACATACCGGCGTTCGCTCACTTCTCGATCCTGTCACGGCTCTCTGCTGTGACAGGGGAGGGGCTGGATTCCCCCCTCCCCGCTCCAATCCTCCAGCGCTGACTGGCTGAACGGACGGGGGTGGGGGCGTGTACAGCTGGCTCTGCCTCTAGATAGGCAGAGCCAGCTGTCACTCACGCAGCTGGGCGGATCCAGACATAATTGTCGGGATCCGCTTCAGCTGCGGCGTCTCAGTATACCGCGAGTTGTAGCTCATGGTATACTGAGCTTATGGTGACGCTAGTTTGTGTCCTCCCGTTACCCTAAGGAGAACTATGGGGAAAAGCCCTAACCCCATAGTTCTCCTTTAAGGTAGGTTGAAAAGCATATGTAATGGAAGAGTTTCATTTGGGATTGTGAGTGTTGTACCTGTTAGACTAATGTTTTATTCTACCATGCCCCTTTAAGACCCTCCCTCTGGCATTCATCGTGCAGCTTTTTTTTTTACTGAAAATAATTTTTTGGATAGTGAGTGTGGACGTTTAGGTGGCTGGCATGTGGCATGACTCTCCCACGTTGCAGGCTCACAGGGGACCCATCCATGCTTCATCCCCAAATGCAGAGTGTAACTTCTGCATACAGTGTTCTTCATCCAAGCCAACTTTAAAATCATAGAAAATCATAGTGCGGTAGTGCTCTTGTTGCAGCTCCATGACTCGGCACTTTGTAATGTGTCTTGTGGCTGCTGGAATGGTCCTGGCGGAATGAAACTGCGTTTCCCTTGTATCAATAATATATCTTATTTGTGTATCACTCGGCTGTAGATCCTGAAATCATCTCTGAATTGGTGCTTACACTGTCCCTCCTGGAGGGGGGCTACTTTTGTTCCCCATGGTCCCTGTGTGTGTTGTAAAGTAGCCACCGCTCCAAGCTCACTCCTGTGCAGAGGCGTCCCCAGGCAGGGCGTAATGACGTAATGCACACTTAACTGCCGGCGGCCATCTTGGTGATGGATGCCGGCAAAAAGAGGAGGAGACGTATATCCGAATAAGTTATGCACCAGGTCCCCTCCTCTCTCGTGCAGCTGTCAGGCTCTCTGTCCATGACTGAATGCCCAACACTTCAGAGGGGGGGACACACCAAAATGACTGCCAGTCATTTTAGTGTCATCCCATCCTTGCGATGCCACTGCTCCCGTGCTAGACTAAAATTCCAATACTAATTAATAAACTAAATGTGAGATTATAGTCCCATCACAGGAGCGAGCTTGGAGTGGTGGCTACTTTACAACACACACAGGGACCATGGGGAACAAAAGTAGCCACCCTACAGAAGGAAGAACAGTGTCAGCACCAATTCAGAGATTTGAGGATCTACAGCTAAGTGATACACACATAAGATACATTTTTGTTAATACTTAAGGTACTTGAATGCATTTTTAAGATTTAACACCTGAGTTTAGTGTCACTTTAAGTATTTATTTTCAATGCTCATCAGTGCCATCTAGTGACCATAATGAAATGTTACATCACAATTCACTTAACCTGAAAAAATATTATAACTTTTGTTTTTGCCATTATTCACACAAAATGGGGCCAGGTTCACACCTAGGTGACTGAGCTGTTGAGCATTTTTTGCGCGATTTTGCTTTGAAAATTGCGCAGTAACCGCCCGAAAATTGCCTGGACACCTTTTTGCGCGAAAGGTGATTTCACCCACGCGACAAAACGCAAAGGTGTGAAGAGCCTCCTTTCAATGTAAATCAGTGTTTCGTGCGATATCGGGTGGCTCATTCCGCAGGATAGATCGCCTGGGTGTTCATTTGTATGTTTT